AGAGTTTTTTTCTCACTAAATAAATCCTGGTCTAGGATGAAAGCGACGCGCTGCAAAGCTCGTTTGTTAGTAAACCATAATCGACTTCGTAAGTCGCGAGGGAAGGGATTGCTGTACCCTTCTCGCGATAAAAACACCTCAGGCATGAACCGCAGGAGGGGGTCCAACCCCCCCCCTCCTATGTGACCCCAGTTGGGTCGTCCAGCTGGTAGAAGTGGAGGATAGGGTCCAGAGTGGCAGACGACAGAGTCCAATGATGGGAGAAAAACAAAAAAACAAAAACACTGCTCTTGTTCTCTGTTTTCACAGATGGCCGACATCAAAGGCATGTTCTCGGGTGGGGCTTCTTGGCCGGAGCTGAATTGGGTGGTGACGGACTCTCTAGCGTCGGTGACGGCTGCTGACGAGGACACGGGGAGATTCTCCGTACCCGATCCTACGGACGTGGCGTTCATACAGTACACCTCGGGTAAGGACAAACGACCACATGAGTATACTCGGAGTGGAGATGAGGAGAACGAGAAATGCAGAATTGATGCATATATGCATGTTGAGAGGACTGCATTAAACAATTTGAAATTTAAGAATATGCCTAAAAACCGAGCGCTCTAGAGGGACAAAGAGGTACACACACAGGAGGCCAATATCAGGTACACAAAGCTCTTTCGAGAGAAAGGGACCGAGCATAAACGGTCGAGAGTTGCGGAGACATGGGCGACTATGCAAAAGAGGGCGTTCGGTCTTGGAGAACGCCTCGCCCTTCTTGCACCCGAACCGGTGGGTCGCCGTCAACTCCGCGGGTCACGGCTTGCTTCACCGTGCCACCCCCCATCCTGACCCCGCCTGTTTTGCTCTGTGCGTGTCGCAAAAGGTTCGACGAGCGAACCTAAAGGCGTCATGATCACCCATTCCAACCTCGCGCACAACCTGAAGCTCATCCTTGCGGGTCTGAGCGCCGTGGACGACACCGTCGTTGTGGCGTGGCTCCCGCAGGTGAGAAACGAGCTCGCGACAGACAGCACTGCTGTCTGTGAAAACCCGCTTTTCTCTCACACTTGGCGGTTATGTGTTTCGATGGGGTATATAGAAAAAGCGGATTGGCTTGTTTCTCGTGGAGTTGAATCTGATACTACGTGATGCGGTGTTTTGTTGACACGGTCACGGCGAAACGTGCTAGTCTTCACCCTTGTACCCGCTTGCAAGGCGTCGCTACTGCTTTTCCCCGTCTACTGTTGGCACCCCCAAACTATTCCTTGGTCAATACAAGTACTTCTGCTGTACGAGCCGCGCCACACCACTCTTTGCATCTCATCCGCGTACCTCTTCCTTGTGGGCCCACGTTGTTGCTGCGTTCAGTATCACGACATGGGACTGATCGGGTCGGTTCTCGCCCTCCTGTTCAGTGGAGGGTCGGGGTTCTACATGTCTCCGGTGTCTTTCATCAAGCGTCCAGCTCTGTGGGTGGAGCTGATCTCTCGCCACCGGGGGACTCACATGCAGGTTGGCCTCGTTTTCTTGACCCTACTGACGGAAAAATGGTGTCGTGAGCTACAGAAAATGTCTTTTTGATGGTCTTGGCGAGACGACCTGTTGCACGGTTGTACAGCATCTGGGTGTGTACCCAAATGCTATCCGAATCCGCTATATAGGTTACCAGAGGTACCTCAATTGTACCGCCGGTTCCAGTCGACCGGCGAAGATAAGAGTTTAGCAACTAAGTATCTCACACATGGCAGCTGCGTGACATGCGCTCACTATATGTGCCGCTCGCCCACGCACTCACGTCGATCAGGACCTCATGAGTTCATCTTGATTGAATTCCTTCGAATGTTTTTCTGGCCTGACTTGTTTTTGCTCCGGGTTGGCACGCGTGTGTGATGTGTGCTCGGGGAAAACCAGGCGCCGAACTTCGCCTACGGCCTGACGGCTCGCAAGTTTCTGGCGCTGGACCCGCAGCCGAAGCTAGACCTATCTTGCGTCCGGCACATGATCAACGCCGCGGAGCCCGTGGACACTGCTTCAATAGACCGGTTCTACTCTGTGTTCGAGGCTCACGGGCTCAAGAGGTAAGGGCCACGGCACTCGCCGATCGGTGTTGATTGGTAGGCTTGCTTCTCGCGAGGTTTGCGGTCTCGCGGCCAGGCTGAGGTAGATGGTTGCAATTCCAACGGTCGTCAATGCCAACGGGCCGTTGTCCCGCTTCTATCGTGGTTGCTTCCAGAAGGGTAATATGCTACGACACTAAAAAGCAAATTCCACCACAAGAACGGAGCGCGTGTGTACCGCTGTTGTCGTGCTCGATCGCCGACAGAGGGGTGATCCGTGTCGCTACCGGTCACGATGAGGTCTTGCCGTCGGGAAGCCAAGAACACGCTCTTTTTTTTTAAGGTATACGTAGCCTCACAGAAAGACCACCCGTTCGAGATAATACCGTAGTCGAAGGGGATGTTGAAGTCTTTTCATTGAGTGGTATTGTGTCGCCTCGGCCTTGACACGTTGGGCGTGACTGTCTCCTTCGACATGTTTTCATGTTTTTGTTACTGCTGCTCCTGCTGCTGCTGCTGCTGCTCCGACTGGTGCTGTTTCTTGGATTGTTTCCCAGGGGTGTAATCTTCCCCACGTACGGCCTCGCGGAGCACACGGTGTACGTCTGCTCGAATGGCAAGGACAGGCTTGTGGTGGACAGGGTCATGCTCGAGACTGAACGAAAGGTATCTACCGCCGATGTGCAAGATCTCTTGCTTGATTACCTATAAACTGGGGCGTGTTATGGGGCTCTTTCTGCCCTTGTCTCTCCTCGAGCTGCCAACATGCCGGTAGCACCAACCCGCATTAGGGCGAATGATGGCGGAACATCTCGTGGGATCCATCTCAGCACTCCCGGCGACCTACATTAGCTATTGGTTGGTCGGGTGTGGTTTGAAACACTGGGCGACCCTCCCACTCTGGCCCGGACAGCTGCGCGTCTCACACTGGAGACTTTTCACCAAACGCTATGACAGTTCTACCTTTGGTGCTTCTTAAGCTATGGTATCCACGACTCACTAGCCGTCACTGCAAATTTCATGCGTGTTTATCACGAGAGCTCGTTGAACGCCCAGGAATCGTGCTTTGCAGGATTGAACCGTGTGGTTGGGTGTTTTTTCCTGCGTCATCTTGCTCCTGATTGCGGTCTTAAACTCTCTCTGTTCCACGTCGCTATCGTTTGTGGCGTAGGTTCGACCGGTGGACAACAAGCTGGAGTTGTGGGCCTATGGTATGGATGGTGAGTATAGCGTACAGCGGCTTTCGTTCGATATCGAGATGGTACAACAGTAGTTATTTTGTACTTCAGAGGGTATGTGTGAACAGTGTCTCTCCCTCGCTTCCTCCTCGTGGTATGATTGTGTATGTTTAGTGCGTGGTTGGTTGCCCTAGATCGAGGCACAGACAACTGCTCTCATCGTTGGTAGGGACACCCAAACAGGTACTCAAAGACAATCTGCGAGGAGGTGCTGTATGAAGTATTTTGATCGAATGCGTTACATCACCCTCACTTTGTACTGGAAAGGTGCGGGCACCGTCGGGGGGAAAGACGACGGAGTGCTGACGACGGTCGTCGTGGGCTGCGGCCGTCCGAAAGAAAGCGACGGGGTGGACCTCCGCATTGTCGACACCGAGGTGAATGGGTCGTTACTATTGCCACGGTCAACAGTAGCGTAATGGTGTCAGAAGTAACAGCAAAATGTTGGTTTGATTATTTGATGCGGATTTGCCTCCCCAAACATTGTTGCAACGGCCACGTTTTACACACATCGGACAGATCCATGAGCTGCAAGCTCACCTATGTCCTACAGATGAAATGGAGCAAATATACACGTGTCACCTATGTCCCTGGCCACCCCAGGCAATACACACCGATCACCCATCTCCTTCAGATCACCTCCGGCAAACATATCACGGATCACGTGTTCATATGGACTTGTGCAAAATAGTACGACACGCAGGGGGACGCACACGAGAGATGCACCCATTTAGCACGCCCGAGTCGACGAGCCAATCAGTCCCACGTATACAGGCTTCCGCAAGAGCGTTCACCACGCAATAGCGACCTTGGCCTCTCCAAGCACCACCCCCCTAAGCTAGCACGTACCCGCGCCAGTATCAACCTAGCACAAACGGCAGCCTGCTAAGGGCCAGGTCATGGGTTCGAGTCCCGACAGAGTGAGTTTTTTCTCGCTAATTAAATCCTGGTCTCCGTTGGAAGCGACGCGCCGCAAAGCTCGTTTGTTAGTAAACCACAATCGACTTCGTAAGTCGCGAGGGAGGGATGCTGCACCCTTCTCGCGATAAAAATATCTCAGGCAGGATCCGCAGGAGGGGGTCCAACCCTCCCCTCCTATGTGACCCCGGTTGGGTCGTCTAGCTGGTAGAAGTGTAGGATAGGGGCCAGAGGGGCAGACGACAGAGTCCAATGATGGATGACAAAAAAAAATATAAATATATATATACTTCCTCTGTCACATAAGTAAAGTCCGTTATGATTACACGGCCATTTAGCCGTGTCCGATGTCTTAGGCGATACTTTTTTTGAAATCTTGAGCGTTTTTCGGGTTGAAACCCATATTTCTTTTTTTTTCTCGCGCACTACCCTGCATGCACTAGCGGCTTACAAAAAAGTAGTCAGGCCAAAAAAGGCCGTATTTTGCCCCTTTCCATGAGGGTGGGGGTGGGGGCACGAAACGAAACATACCAAAAATAGACAAGAATTATCCCGAACCCTAAACCCAAGGTTACCTCTACTGAACGATCCATTTCGCGTCCTCCCATACAAAAACCAGCATAGTAGTGAACCCACACTAAAATCAAGACATTTTCGAGGCCCACTCTAAAACCAATACACTTGGGGGCGCCACACTAAAATCAAGTTACTTGCGGGGCAAAGCCGACAGGTGTAGGGTCCTAACCCTACCCCCCCCCTTGCACTCAACGACCCATGTCGCGTCCGCCCAATGTTTTCTGGGGTAATCACTACCAACGCCGTACCGCTCGGCGAGGGGGCCTAGAAAGCCCTTGGGTACCCTTTCTTTGCCCGGCGGAATCGCCAACGCTATCTCCACCGCCATGGCGTACCGACGACCCAACGATACTTCCGCACCCCGCTTACGACGTGGGGGTGTCTGGGCGTCGTCCCCCATGATAGCTACGTCGTTGTGGTGGTAGTGGGTGCTCACACAGCACAAAGCTGCAA